GTTGAAGAAGCAGCGATACCTCCCCTGGGATGTCCATTTAGACCCTGATAAGCAAAAGGATAATTTAGTTTTAGTCCTCCTATTTCACTGACAAATGAGGAAAGTGTCTCCATTTAACTGAGCCACAGAGAAATAAATCACTTGCACATAGAAGTGGGCAGCCCCAGGGCATGAGAAATAAAATATTCTCCCAGTCTTCCTTGTGTTTGGAACTCTCATCTTCTACATGAACAGCTGATTTGTAACCAATCGCTGCTTCTCCCAGGTGGAGGCTGAGCTGATCGATAAGCTGGACAGCCTGGTATCCGAAGGAAAAGGTGATGAGAACTACAGGGAACTCTTCAGCCTGCTGTAAGCTATACCAGTTTGTGCTCACTCGGTCTTGTGCGGGGTCGTGGGAAGAGTCGCGGTGGTGATCTCTGCAGCCGCAGCTACAGTGCCGATCCTTGGAGAAAGCAGTAAAGGGCTTTCTGGCAGGTTTTCATGACATGGGTCCATGAAATAGAAATATGTCACTAATTCTGAAAATAATATAAAACCATAAATTCTTCTATGTCTTCTTTCCGTGGAATCTAATATAAGGCTGCAGAGGTAAGTAGTTATCATCCTCCTGTCAAAAATTGATTTGCTGGAGGAGCCAGTGCCTTTCTTTTCACAGAGCAATAAGTGAAATCACGGCCTTAGGATTGCTTAGAGAAACAGCGTGCTGTCTAGAAGTCAGGCCTTGTTAGAGCAAAAGAGATTTTCCTCAGCATTTTCCTTTTCTGCTTCCAATTTTTGAAGGTTGCGTTTTGGTTGGCTCAACAGTGGCAAGTTGCTTCCTCCAGAGTCCATCATGACACTGTATTTCCACTCTCTTTCATACTAAAAATCTGTACTCGTCAGGATAAACTTTTTATGTCTGACTTCCCACGTAGTTATTTTTGATTACTGATCTGTTTCCAAATTTCATTTCCAGTGATACTAGTTTATTTCAAAAGGACTTGTGAGAGTCCAGAGCAGTTAACCCGAAATCTTTTAATATTTCAATGAGCCATAGAGATCGTTAGCTGAATTTTAGCCACGTATTCCAGACAATGTTATGTGGCCCCCAAGAGCATGCTGGCAGTTTGAGGCATAAACTTTAGTTTCGCTACAACCAAGGCTTGTATTTCTGAATTCACAATGGCACATTCATTCATTTTCCAGACAGATAAGCCTGCCCATCCTCTATGCTTATCCTTAGGAAGCATGTAAATGTATTTGGTTTTGAATTGTGTATATTCAGTCTTAGGAAGTCTGGCATATTATCTGTACAGATAACAGAAGTCTATTTCGGGGATAAAGGAAAGAAAATATCTTTTTTTTTTTTTTTTTTTTAATTCACCTGGCAAGAGGAATACTGTGCATTTCATTTGCTCCAGTTGAAGGTATTTGCTACCCAAAATGTTAAGAATTCAGGGACTGTAGCTTTTTACTTATTTTTAGATTATAGCAACTGGATGTATTGCTAAGAAACACAGCCTGGAAGTCCAGCAACCTTTTAGTTTATATTTGCAACTGACTTTTCTGAGAACGATGTGAACTTTGAGGAAACAATTCCACAAAGTCAATAAATGCTGTGTGAAATAAAGAGTTGACCCTGAATTCTTCTGTCTCAGATATACTGCTGAAATGTGAATTGGCTCCCTCAGCTGGAAGTCATTCCAGCACAGAAGAGTTTGCCTCTTCTGAGGATGTGTATGACACTCAATGGAATTTCTTTCCTCTTGCCAGTATAGAATTGGCAAGTTCTTTGACCTGAGATCCAGTTTCAAGAAACTAGGGCATAAATTTGCTCTCTTTTTTCATGTTTTGAATAGGATTTTCAGTGTTCTCACTCTGGCCTTCTCTCATCCTTCACAGTTGTCTCAGTGAGATGCTCGCTCCATCGTCCAGTTTGCTGAGCAGGAACAGATTGCCTTTATTTATTTACAGTTAAATAAATTGTGATTTGAAGTTGGTTGGTTGCTGATTAGAGACAAAAATTGACGTGGGGATGAGCAAAGAAGAGGTATTTGCAGTAGGTTTAGACTCCCAGCTTCTGCCTGCTGTTAGCAGTATTTCAGCTACAGGCAATAATGTGGGAATCGGCTGTTGCCATGAGCATTGCCCTCTTTCGTATCTTGGAAATGGCAATGTGAAGATATTTTTCCTTCTCCTGTCAATTCTGTAATTTCCTTGTCTTTGCTTTATGCTGCCTGGAGTAGAACCCAGCTCTTTGGGCCTTATCCCAGGTAAGACAGTAAGTCTATGAATTTGTTCTATGAGGGAGAAACCAAGTTGTCTGCAGCTGTCTGCATGCACTATACCATTTCCCTGGAAGCCTCATCTCTCATGTTCCCTGCTCCAAACAGTTTGCTGGAGAAGATTGAGCAGGAAACGTGGCGGGAGACTGGAATCTCCTTCGTGACATCAGTTACTCGTCTCATGGAGCGTCTGCTTGACTATAGGTATCTGCAACAACAGCAATATATTCTAAGTGTAAGAGGTTTGCAAAGAAGTAGTACCAGGTTTCTTTCCTACAGGGAATATTTGTATTGTTTATCCAGCCGCATGCTTCTCTGGTGGCAGGTATTATGTAAGCACGCCTAACTCATTGCTGCTGGGTTCTGAGCAAAAATCCTAAGTCCTCATTTCCAGAGCCCTAATTCTTGTTCTTGTATGCTCATTCCTGGTAATAGCAAGGATAAAGAAATTTTTTAATTTGTAGTTTTGTACTAAGGTTTATTCAGGTTGCTAAATGATTAATTCCCTCTGTCACTGAAATGGTCTCACGTAATTCAGCAAAATAGATGATAAATGCAAGGATGATCTCAAATGCCTTGCTGAACCAAGATGTGCTGAATGCTTCATCTAGACATGCAGGGTTGGAAAACTTTTCATCTAAGGAAAGTCATGGAGTCATCTGAGGACATGTCAGCTGGTGACTCGTGTACAAGGCTCCACCTAAGTTAGGAAGCCTTTGTTTAGTTTTAGACTGAAGTTTGCAGGACTATTGTGTCAATACAGCTGAGCTTTGATTCAGTTACAAGAAAATATTTTCACTCACACAGACACATGTATCCACACACACACACACAGAGTTATTTTTATGGAATGACAGACAATTGGAAACCAAATGCCCCAAATATTTTATTTTTAGCTTACTGACAGGAGTTCAAATAATTTTTCCTTCTGCCGCTGCTCATTATAGGTGAAAACCTGTGACTAGGCTGGGTATGCTGCAATCCCAAATCCTTTCCTGGGATTTTTAGTTTGTTTGTTATCCATACCAGTTTGATCCAATCTCCTGTCTGTTTCCTGATAGCAGCTGCTCTTCAACTACTGTCCAGGACCAGGTATCTGAGACATATTTACAGGGAATGCAAGGGAGCCGATTTTTTTTTTTAAAGAAATTTGCTATCAAGGCAACTTTGATACACAGATATACATTTAATTGAGGAACAGATATCAGTTTTAAATTGATTTTTAGTACACAGCAGATTTTTTTTTTCATTCCCAGAGCAGAACAGAACAGGGAGCTGCATTGGAATTTGGAAACACACAGGAAACCTCTTGGAGTACAGCCGGCAGTTAGTTGACCCATTACTTCTCAAGACAGTTTGCTGTGTCACGGCTTTAAAAATTTTGTCACTTTTTTCACAAATGAATCTGACTTTCTCAGATCAAGATTAGTAATTTCTGAAGCCTTAACTTTTTGTATTGCTTGAATAGAAATAATTCCTAAAATATTCCAGAAACTAAACATGATTTTTTTTATTTAATTTACCTATGAAAAAGTTCGTAATCTAATCCAAATTACTGTGGTTGTATCTCTCAGCATGCCAACGCTGCATTGGAGGGCTGAATTTATGAAAGCTAATCCCTTGACTAGGAAACCACTAAACAGTTACATCTGGATAAATAATAGTTTTTCACCTTTATAGTAGATCTTTCTTTCAGATTATTTTTGGCCACTATTACCTGATTTTTGTTCACATTCTTGTAAGAAATGAAGTAGCAGTCAGTCCAGGTGCTTGTTCTCAGATGCAGACATGTAAGAGGACACTCAGGTCTCCTATCGTTTAAGCCGTAACATGGAAATTTTTCTTAGAGGAACTTTACAAAATAAAGTATGTGATGAACTGCTGTTTGTGATCCAAGGAAACTCTGGAGGATAAGATCGCTTCAGATTTATTTTAAAAGGAATTTTTTTGCAGATATATGTTTCACCATGGCTCTGCTTTCTTAGGGACTGTATGAAAGGAGATGAAACAGAAAACAAGAAAATTGGCTGCACTGTTAACCTTATGGTAAATGTTCCCTTTATTGCTTTGTGATACTGTGCAATGTTGTCGAAACTGTGATGGGAAAGGCTGGGATAGGAATCTGTTTCAGGCAAGTGTAGCTTCAGAATCCGAGCACTGGGGTGACAGACGAGAACCACAGGGATTGTGAGGATCCCCTGGAGGTCTCTGGTACGACTCTCTGCCTAAAGCAGGGCCAAGTCAGTCAGGTTCCTCAGAGCCTTGTCCAGCTGAGTTCCGAGTATCCCTGTGACAGAGGTTCTACAACCTCTCTGACCTTCTCTTTCAGCTTTTGACTACCTTCATTTTGAAAAAAAATCATGACACAATAGAATTATTTGGTTTAATCAATGTGAATGTGAAAAGAATCATTACGATTCTTTTACGCTAATGGTGTATTCTCTTTTCAATACCTTTATACATACACAGATGCTGCTGATTGTCTTGAAGGAAGGGGCTCAATAACAACTCTCTTTTCTTTCACAGAATTTCTATAAATCTGAAATTAACAAGGAAGAGATGTACATCCGCTATATCCACAAGCTGTGTGACATGCACTTACAGGCTGAGAACTACACAGGTTAGTCAGACATCGTGTGGGGTCTGCTTGAAATCCTGGCCAAAGTGTTTGACTCTCCCAGTGTTATACTATTTGATTAATTCTTTTAGAAAAAATTTGTATGAATCGGTTATGGCAGTCGGGAAGAAGCTGAGGTCCAGCTCCTTCCCTCAAGTCAAATAATGTATGTCTGTGCCCACACAGCAATACACCTGTTCCATTACACTCCAAATTCTACATCGAAGTGTTCTATGAGGAAGATTGATCCAAAAAATCACAACAGTGGAATCAAATTTAGAGGAAGATTAAAATCACAAAACCACTGTGACATTATCATTTGTCATACTTCCTTGCATTGTTGTATTTAGGGAGCACTTAGGAAGTGTATAGACTCTTAATTCTGTGCTGTCCAAGCTCTGTTTACAGCTGCATGCTCCAAATCTGGTTACGTAGCTGAACTTCTGACTGTGCATTCCAATCCAGTAGCTAGTAAAAAGAAACTCGACAGATTTGTACCTAAAAATGAGTTTCATAGGAAACAGCTTTGTGCTGCTATTTTAAGTAATTGAATAATTTAATGATCATCTAAGACTTCAGAGTGTTTTCTCAAATTGTAAATCAGAAATTCCAGACTGTTTAAGCAGGTCTAGTGACCTTTCAACCTACTGGCTGTATTTATTTGTTGTCATTGATTCAGTGTTCAATAATTGCATTTCCAACAGAGGCTGCATTTACTTTGCTTTTGTACTGTGAGTTGCTTCAGTGGGAGGACAGACCTCTGAGAGAGTTCCTGCATTACCCATCTCAGTCAGAGTGGCAACGTAAGGAAGGTCTGTGCCGTAAGATTATCCATTACTTCAACAAAGGGAAGGTATGCCAACTTCTTCTCTCTTCCAGCAGCTTCCTTCCCTTTTCCTGACTTACTTAGGGCTTGCAAGCCTATCATCTCAGTTCAGTAGTCTGGAACTAAATTTGTATCAAAAGTTTTTATAACTTGACAAATTGCTTCTTGCCTCTCTGGATGAAAAAACAGATGAGAAAACAGATATGGGGATTTCATTATGCGTGGCATTTGGAACTAGTGTAGGTGAACCAAGAGGAAAAACACCAAAACATTTTTATACCTTTAAACCAAACTTTGGATCACCTGATATGGCAGAAAGCTCTATGAATGCCAGTTCCTTTGCTGTTGGGGGGCAGCATTGCATTTTGTATTTGTCTATGCAAATTGCTGTGTTATGGCTCACTTTAGAACTTGTTTTGTTTCTAATCTATAGAAGTAAATGGCAAGCAATGCACTGTAGAAGTTCCTTTATTAAAAAAGACTTAAGTCTTTTCAGTGTCACTGTTATTTGAAGTGGCTTTCAATTAAAGTGCAGTTCCATCCATTGCACAAGAAGAAAATCAATACATTTCAATTTCACATATTCGGTATGGGTCTCCTACAATAAATATTTCTTTTAAAAATTACTGCAGAGGTAGGTGTTATAGTCCCTTGTTTCATGGCATTTGGGGAACATTCAGAGGTGAACCTGAAAAGTGATCTCATCTGTCAGACTATTTTCAAATTTTTCCCTTCCCTAGAAAAATTCCTACAGCTTATATTACTGGAAGATAGCATCTGTATGTGCGCCTCAGGGTTGCTTTGCCTATGATCGCAATGATGGTGGCATTAAATACAAATGAGATTTGGTTCATATGGGGTTACCATTCCAGAAAATTCTTTTCTAGCCCTGATAATGGAAAGCTGTACATGGCAGAGACATTCTCTACAGAACCTGCAAAAGGAAGTCAGACTAGTGTGTAGGAAGAAACAGCCTTATTTAGGGGGAAGTGATTAATTGAGAAGGGGGGGACAAATTGTTCTTTTGTAATAATACTGCACGTGGTTCTCTTTTTAGTTTCAGAAATTTTCAGGGGTTTTCAGACTGCACATAAAAAAATAAATAACTGACATGCAAATATTGCAGTACTGTACTGTCTGAGTAGACAAGATGATCTGAGACCATGTAAAACAAGAGAGCTTGTATTTTTGACAAAAACAGGCAATCCATATATGCACTGAAGGGGAGTAAAAACTTGATGGATGTAATTTTGCTATAAAACTCCTAACAGATTATAGAGTGTTAACCTCTTGAGGCTTTTTCCCTACTGGATGGTTTTGGAGTTATTTGACTTTGTGTTTTAATCCTCCTTTATTATAAATGGTAGCTGAATGACTAAATAATCCACTTAAGCAGTGTGTATGTCACTCAAACTGTGGAAGTGAAAGACACTGAGAAGCCAAATCCTTCTGCTGCTTTTCAGCACTATTCTGCTGCTGTGTAACAGCGAGCAGCTCAGGGCATGGAAGAAGCTTGCATCCCTCACCTTGCAGCTGAGAGTTTCTTTCCGCACTCCCCAAGATGGTCCCTCCTCAGGTCCTGACAAGTGGAATTTGTTGTTCTGTGTCCTTCAGTTGCATTTCTAGAGTTAAGTTTCTCACATTGCTCCTGGCATCTTCCACTAAGTAAGGGGGTCAAAGCAGCATCAAAAGGGTGTAAGAATTCTGCATTTGTTAATGGGAAAACTTTCTCAGCACAGGAATGAGGGAAAACTACAGCCACAAGACTGTCTTGTGAGTTTGACGTAAAGACCCTCGGCAGGCCCACAGCACAGCAGTGGGGTGCAGAATTGAGTAACTCCCACTCTCACTGCTGCCAGTAGCAGCAGGGTGTTCCCAAGCTCTTTTAGCCTTCGTTTTGGTTGTGTGCTCCTTCCTACTGATTTCTGCTATGGTTTACAGCTCAGTCAGCAGTGTGTGCGAGTGCACAACTTTAAATGAAGATTTATTTTTTTTTAATCACAGTTACAATTTTGTCTGTTAAAAGTCAAGCTTTCTAGTTGAAGATGACTGTGAATGGAACAGTTTGAAGCCAATTGATTGTGCTTGTGGACAGCAGTAGCTTGAAAACTACACAATCCTTTTCTGTCCAGTTCACTGCTAGATTTTTTTAACTAAAAATTCTGACCAGCTCACATCACAGCATGTATTCTCTTTGGTGCCAGCCAAGTGCTGAGAGACCCAAAGCTGCATTTCAAAGCAGTTCATTTTTAGATCATGTGCTCCATACCCAACATTTGAACTAATTTCTCTTGTGCATCCTCATGTAAACCATATTTCCAAAAGAAGTCTGCACATTGGGATGCGAGTAAATAAAGGTTGCCATTTGTAAATGTCAGTTGTCTCTATCTGTGCCTCCTTGTGTGCAGTCAGTAGCGCTCAGCTGAGAGTTGCTGGTGCCATAGGAGAAAGCTGCAATAAATGTCACATGAATGTGTTCTTCAAGGGAAGGACATAATACAGAACATGCAAACAGATCAGACATCAGCAGCACAGAAAGCAGTAATGAGGGAAATGAACAGTGGAGACATTAGGAAATTATTTGAAGGGGGCAAAGAATGATGCTTTAGAGGGAAGTGACACTTGCATAGCACATGGACTTGCATATTAAATTTCTAGACTGTGAAGATGGTACCCATTAACATCACAAATTTTAAAACTGAGGATCCCAGTGACTCAGATATCCATTCATTCTCTTTTCCTTTCAAATACCTGCAAACTCTCTTTCCTTTCTAAGAAGTTACCTGTATATTGTGTTTCTTCGCTTCTCTCTCTTCTGATATCTACAGCATATTCAAGCAGCACAGTGGAATTTCTCTGTGTGGAAATCTAACTGAAACAAAGAGAGAAAGCCTGAGTTAGGATGACAGGAATGGTATGGGTACAGGTAGAAGAGCTGGTATAAAGAGAAATAAGATGCGGTTACATCTTGTTAATTTAATTCACATCAGAAAAGGAGCGTGAAAAGGATCTTTAGGATCACCTCAAGGGAAGATAACCAGCGAGCTTGCTGCTGCTGTCCAGAAGACAGAGAATTATGTAGGCTTTAGCCACAGCATCCCATCTGGAAGTGAGAATTTGCTCACGCTCTGTGTGACAAAAGCCATTTATTCCAGATGTTTTAGAAGAGACTTTTCCATTCTTTCAAGTAAACCAGCTAAGGACTGAAAATCTATGTATATTATCTCTGTAAAGAATGTTGAAACCTATAAAAAATGCAATGGTGTTTGTATTTGCAAATTTAAGCACTTAACTGGTTGATGTTGTTGATGTCAATTCAGCGTATCAATTTGTACATCATGGACTTTGACAACCCACAGCAAAAATCCTGTTAATTTGAGATCACAAAAACCTGCATAATATTCTGAGTAGTCAGTAACTGCACTTTCAGTTCATTTCCTATTGTATGTATTGTGTTCATCTAAATAAATCTCAGGCTTCCCATCATCCCAAACTACTACTACTATCAGAATATCCAAATTTTTTCTGAAAGAATCTTTAAATAGCAAGTTTTTATGTAAGTTTTTGTAATTAACTAAAGTTAGTGGATGTAGGATCATTAGTTTTGCCTTTTTAGTTCTTACAGGTATCCCCTCTTTTAATAAAAAAGTTCTTACACTTACTGGTTTTGCTATTCAGGGGAAAAAAGTTTTTCTGGTATTAAGGATGAGAGAACAGACACTGTAAATGTCTGTGCATAAGGGGAAGCATTGTGAAGTACCTAATACACCAAATCAGACAGTGTAGAGATTCAGTTTTTTAAGTGAAGGTACATGTAACCAGAAGAACTATTTCCATATTAAATGCTAATATTTTACATAATTACTGTTAATTACTGCTACCAATAATTTACAAATTGCTATTACTATTCTGAAAACTTTAGGTGATAGTCTAACTCACACATTAATTTTGTTTTCACTACAGCAGGGTCCCAGTTAAAACTGGCAAGTTAACCCAGTAATGCATAAAAGTTAATGCAGTAAAGGTTCAGCTGAGACCTTGGTGTTCTAGATCCTTTACATAAGTATGGTAAGAAACAGCCATTCCCCCAAAAGGCTTCCAATCTGTACAGGTAAAAGATGATGGGAGAGGAGATCTCAGTTCAGTTCAGTGAGCGCTCCAAAAAGCAAAGTGAGGTAACAGGAGTCTCACTCTCAAAGTGGGTGTGCCCATACTCAGTCTCTTTCTTCCTTACCTCAGAGGGTGAGGGAGCATGGTGTGCTAGAAAAGATTTATTGTATGCAGACTGTAAGTATAACAGTTTTGCTTTTGGTTCTGGATAAGAATATTCACTCAGTGCAATAACGCAGGTCAGTTCTGAGGGTGTTTTGTCTCTGTATTTGAGCGCTTCCCATTGCTTCACAGTTTCATGCTTGCAGTAGGAAGTAGCAGCCCTGGGAAGGGGAGCACTTCTCTGGGGAGCTAAGCCCTACCTCTTCACTCCAGGGAGTTCTAGTGCAGAAAGCAAAGGAGATATTGGGGGTGGGTTGAAGGGGTGTCCCACAAGAAGGAAATTTGTTAGTTGTATTGTCTTTCTCCAAGTAAGTTCCCAGTCTTGTGAGTGAACTGTCAGTAACAAGCAGTATGCGTATGTAATTTCAGTGGAACATATGCCTCCATTACCAGCTTGAAGAAGGAGTTAATCTGATATTTAATGGAAACTGTCTCATCACATTGCATTTTCACATCTAATCCCTGGCATTTCATACTAAATGAATTCCCAAAATTGAGTTTCCATATTCCTCTCAGCTGAGTTGGCAACAACATGCTCTTTGCTGTGAGTGTGATTTGCTTTGGTTTCGCAGAGCTGGGAGTTTGGAATCCCGCTGTGCAGAGAACTGGCCATACAGTATGAAAGTCTCTATGATTATCAGAGCCTCAGCTGGATTCGGGTAAGTAGCAGCAGTTCCTCTCCTTGCAGACTCTCATGTCTTTCCCCAGGGAATTTTGTTCTCCTGTCAGAACATTCTGAATTTAAAAAATAATCATATTCCCTATACAGCTCCATGCATTTACTGGAACTTCTTTGCTATTGATTCATTTTGATGACTTTGTAGGTCCACTGAAGTAATTCCTAAGTCTGCTAGGAGTAAACTCCCAGGAGTATATGGAGACAGCACACACACAGGAACTAGGCTTGCTATTGCAATTGCTTATTTATATATACTTATCTTTGCATAAAATATCTTTTTTTTCTTTTTTTAAAAAAATTATACATTGATATTCCAAAAACATCAAGGACAGCTTGTGCCTCAGTTGACATAGGAGGAACAAGAAAGAAAGAATGGAGAAGGCAAACCTTTATGGCATTTTTGTCAATTTACAAGCATCGGTCTCTGGTAAAACCAAACATGGTGAAATCAGGGCACATTTGCATCATTGTGCTTTAATCAGATAAAGTCAAAAGTTCTGGTTGTTATTTAAAAGCTTTATGAATGTGAAAAGAATTCATCTGCTTTTGTCCCCTGGGGTAGCATGCATATACCCAAATTAAAGATTTATGCTATGTGGATGTATTCTTATACACAGTGGTTTAAATTCTCTTTAAAAGTCAAATTTATTCTCATCTGAAGATATGTCTAACTAGGTCTTATGAACTGCACATCTGAAGAACCTGTTTTCTTCAAAGTGGCCCTAAAGAGAGTGCAGGTGACCATCTTGGGCTTTATTGTAGACATCTAAAATAGAGCAGTGTGGAAACATACCCTGGTGTACACGAAATACCGTATTGGTAAAGTGCTCTTGAATGATAAGCACTTAATAAAGGCTTAGTCAAGTCATGCATCAAGACTTCCTTTCCTAAAACATCAGTAAATGAGCTCCTTTTACTTTTTCCAACTGCCTTTTTTTCCTTCCAAGTTAAACCTACTGGTGCACGGAGCTGTAGAAGATTTAATTTTGTTTCATCCTTTTTCATGCCTCTCAACTCAATTAAGGCAAACCCAATTGCATTGATACAATTTTCCAGCCAGTGGTATAGATTTTGAGCTGTAGGAGAGAATAGGACACTGTGGGCCAGGCAACACAGATCTTAATCTCAGCTTTGCCATTAATTCTGCAATGCAAAGAAAATTACATGCAAGACCTGTTTAATTTAAAATTAGATACAACAGAAAAATTTTCCCATGTCACCTCCAAAAATGTAGAATGAGTATGATGATACTATAGTCCGTTCCACCATGTGGACTGTTTAATTAATAATTTTTATCTTTAAAAGAATTTCAGTCTTTTCATTAAAAATTGTGGGGGTAAAAGAGTAATGTGATACTTCAATGTGTCTTGAGATTCTGAAGTTTTAAGCACAGCTATAAGGGTCTGATAGCAGCTTTGTTTTTCCTCCACAGAAAATGGAAGCTACCTATTATGATAATATCATGGAACAGCAGCGCTTAGAACCTGAGTTTTTCAGAGTTGGTTTTTATGGTCGGAAATTCCCATTTTTCTTGCGGGTAAGCCAGACTTACACAAAATATAACGAAGTGACTAGGCTCAGAGTAGCAGTTAAGGCTTTGTATTTTTGTTGCAGAGATACGATGTCTGCCATTCAGTTTATTTTTTTATGCCTGCACAGCAGAAAATAGCTTTCTGGCTGAACTGAAGGATGATATGGTCCATTGGGAACGTTCTTAGGAACAGAGATCAGAAATTCGACTCATGCCTATGTGTATTTTTGACAATCTGCAGATGCAGCACCAATTGCCTCTGTATTAAGCAAAATGCTGTATTGCAGCAATGTTGGATCATTACTCAACTAATTTTCATCATCTCAAATTATCACGCTTTAAAAAGTCTCACATGACAGCATGATTCTAATACCAGCCTGATGACTCTCTTATGCTATCTACAAGTGAAAATTTCCTCTCTCTTCAACAAAAAACCTAGTGGCTTCTCTGGACACTTCCTCACTTGGAGCTTATTGTCTGCAGGTGTATACAGGATTAGCTGGGTCCGTGAGCCATTTAAAAAGCAAAATTATCTTATTTTCCTAATGAGGAATCAAACTTAAAATGGATGTTTGTTCATACAATGTCTTGTTGCTAGTTCAGAGCCAGGAAGAGGAATATCATCTGACAACTGCTGTAAGAGCTGCCTGAAAATTGATGGTAGATGCCATCTAGCGTGACAGGACAAGCTAACTTGAAGTGTGTTTTCAGGGACAGGAGGTGCATGATTTGTGTTTTCTTTAAAAAAACAGTTTGACAAGAGATGGCACCACTCGAGTTACACAGTAAGAAGCTATAAAAATCCAAACTGTGTACCATTTTGAAAACCGCAGTCTTAAATTTTCCCCTGAACACTAAGTTGGTTTCTTTTAAGTTAGGATTTAAACACTGGTGTTTAATTACAGTCTTTTAATGGAAACATAGGCAGGGGTAGTCAAGGCAAGTTGGAATTAATCAAGGTGAAAATGCCAGTGGATAAAAGGTGGCTTCGTGTTACTCAGAGGTGAAGTTGCACAGTGCCATAATGCCGCAGCCTGAATCCGTGTGTGGAACACACCGGCAGAGGAATCTGAGGAAATCACAAGTGCTGCAGCGTAGAGCAGTAGCTTCCCCGTTCATTAAGATCTCCAGAGAAAACTGACAATGTCTTTTTTTTATATCTAACAACAGATGTTTCAGAAAATGAATGACAACAAAGTCATTATGGCACATAAGTGTTCCTACATTTGAAATAATTCCAGTGAATCTAGCTCATCTTATTATACGATGGATCCTACAGTTTCATCTTGGATCCTGCATGGCCTATGTGTTTAACACTGCACAAGTCTTCAGTGCACAGCACTTACTCTTTGCAAAACGGTGTAACAATATGGATACTTGGCTGGAGACATTAACAGCGAACATGAGCGTACATAATTATAATCCTTCTTAATTCTGCAATTATATTTGGTAGCAGTACTTCTGATAGGAGATTACTAATGTAGCAATCTCATTAAAAGCTATCCTCCTCCTTTCTCTCTCTAACGATCCATGCACCATACACATTGCGAAGCACAGGCTAAGCCCATTAGCAATCACATCAGCATGGATCACACTGTAAAGAGATTGGAAGCAGCTATTCTAGAGAAGAAAAATATTTACATGGTTTTAAAATTTTCAAATGGATATGGGAGTGATTTAAAATGATCAAATAACTCGTGCCCTTTTCTCGTTCACTTTTCTGTTGCTGTATGGCTTCAGACAGAAAATAACCACTTCTTCCTGCACCTTTTGATTTTGAAGACCCTTTGTCTATAAGTCATTGTTTGTGTTTCTATCAACTGTGTCTCTATTTCTAGCCTTCCTACATAAGTAAATTAAAACTGTCCATGTCTTCCACCCACCAGAAGTTCACGTAAGGCCTGACAAGCCACGTTTGAGATCTGTCTGAAAATTCTATTAAATTTAGCTTTGAGGTATTTTCAGGGTGTTATTTTTAGAATCACAGTAACTTTATTTATAGGCTTACAGTTTTCTGGATTGCTGCAATCAAAAGCTAAAATACAGAATGCAGTAAGTGTTAGGAACAGATTCACCTTCAAACATGGACTCACTCCAAATTGAGTAACAGCTGCAAAGTTTGGGCATTGTAGACTGAACTGTCAAGATTCATCGTGCAGTTTTTCTCCGAGTTCGTTGCTTGCTGTGACTGATGCATACAAAGTGACATACGTCACAGCTGGAAACATGAGATCTGTTCTATGAAGTTGAAATGCAAAGCCAAAGATAACTGCGCTCCTTGGCCATGTTTTATGATTGGGTTTTGCCACTTTCTTTTTGATTTTGCTACAAGAGCAAGAACTGCTCATTTTCCAGAGCAATTAAAAAAACATTATTGCATATGCTGCAGCTTTTAAATGAATTACTCTGTGAAGGTAAAAATTTCCCTGTACTTCCAGTTACTGTTATGTGTGTGAGAGTTTAAACTACCAGAATGAGAGAACTTGCCTGCTTTGATCGGTCTTGCATGAGGAGACATGTACACCAGTCAAAATTGTGTTTTGTGGTGAATAGGGTTAAAACACTGGAATACAATCTTTATAACACTGAGGACTTAAGAAATCCGGTATCGTGCTGTTCAAAGTTTGAGATGGCTCAGAAAGCATCCAGGAACTCTGCACAAGTGGTTCAGTGCCTCACAAGGCATATCTAAATGCAAGCTTTCCATTAGTGGCAGAAACAAAATTTTGTTTATCAGGAGGAAAGTGCTTCTAGGGCTGAAGGGGAATTTGCTAAGTGGCCACTGAGACTTCCTGGTAAGGTTTTTCCATATTACTGCACAATAAACAGGGGAGTTCCTGAGGATGTATTGTTCCGCGTGGTCAAAGGTGGATTGTATGGCTCTGACAATACAGCAACGATTAAACAACGATTTTTTGTGAACAGTTTGTTACAGCTTCGCTCTAAGGATAACTGATAAATTGATAAACATATATCTTCCTCTGTTCTGTGAAATCCTTTTATCCACCTGGTGTAAACTGTATTTGACAGCAGCTTTCCCAGTGTAGAACAGCCAAGCTGGTGACGTAGTCTTAAGTCTTGGTCGACATGTTTCAGTTTAGTCCCAATTAAAAAATAGTCCTTTTTCAGTTGTCTGAAAAGCAAATAAGAAAAGACAACGGGACTGAATGTGATGTATGTATGGATTAGATGCATCTTTCTGTTGAGATGAGTGTCATAGTCTACTTATTCATCACTTCTTGATTAAATACATTGTACAGAAAAAGGAAGGAATAAAATATATCAGCTGTGTTAAATGCACGTTTTACTCTCCCATTAGCATATTGACCTTGTCATTTATCTTTGTTGTTGAAGGAGTAACATTTTAAGTGAGATAAAAGCCAATAGAATTTAACTTACTTTTAAGGAGGCTAATCTATGCTTGCCATTCTTGCAGAACAAGGAATATGTATGCCGGGGCCATGACTATGAGAGGCTGGAAGCCTTCCAGCAGAGGATGCTGAGTGAGTTCCCACAAGCCATTGCAATGCAGCATCCAAACCACCCAGATGACTCCATATTGCAGTGTGACGCCCAGTGTATCCTTCAGTGAAAGGGCAAGCTATGATTACAAGAACTGTGGTAGAGGACAGAAGAGGAAGGTATTGAAAATGTCTTCAGCTTGGATAACTCAGTTCCCAAGTGTCTTAGGTGGAGCTGGATATGGACAAAACTATACACCTGCCTACAGTAGGCATTAACTGGTTCATTGCACTGCGTATCGCTGGAGAGAGCTGTCGCTTTTTATTCAGGGAGTAATCCAGGTCATGTGCAATGTGTAAGTGGTCACATCTGCTTGGTCACATCATGTTTTAACCTTTACGAACAGTGTTGCCATAATGCACGTTTCGCATCATTAAAAGTATTCCCGATACCTTCTTTTGGAGAACATTTTGTTGGGAGCAGAAATTCATTCCAAAGTGTTATTTTCCATTATGTTTATTTTTCACATCATTATTATTATTTTTGTCCAGTCTCCCTTTATTTTAAATGGTTGAATTTTCCTACACCTAAGGCTTTGAATCTCATTCTCCTCACTGGTAATCTGTCCTGTGATTTGATACAACCAGCACAATGCTATGTGCACTTAAAAGACTGAACCACTTAACGTTTAATGGTCTGCAGAGACTTTTAGAGATTGTAGTCATGAGAATGCCACTGTTTGGGTTGTGTGACAACAGCAAGGGTGTTACGCAGGACTTTAACCATAGGGATGTTGTCAGCAAGTGAAATCTCCTGAAATCGGTTGGTGTTTCCCACTTGCCTTTCATAACACGTGCTTTTCACCTTGCTTTGCTATATAACAATGATACTTTCACAGAGGGGTTGTTTGTGTGTGTATTTTGGTTGGTTTGTTTATGCTTGCAGAGATCTTGTCTGTAACACTGAGGTTAAACCAGTTTAATTTAACTGGCTGTAAATTGATGAAATTAGGGCAACTTTGGTTTGTAGACAAGGTGAAATTATCAAAGGTAAATATTAGATATTATAATATTATAAATATCAAGGCAAAATTTATCAGAGGTAAATAGTAGATATTTAAGTACCTAAATACATCAAGATCTACTAAAGTGCCTGCACAAATGAGGCACCTAGCTCTAATTAACAGGAAAAGGATATTTTGCCTGCTGTAGATATTTTGGGTGTCTTACTACATACTCTCTGCATCCTCAGGTATCTTCCTCTTCAGTTAATCTGGCTGTGAGGCATACTGTAACTCCCTAGGCTCTCCTGGTAGTTCTAGTCTAGTGTTCTGTTGTTTCACTTGCAAAAGACAAGCACTGGAAAACAGAGGAGCTTGACTTTCTGAATTCACCACCCTGTTTATTTCCACGGTAGCGGTAGCTCTCCTGTTTGATGTCCCATGGCTTTCTTTGACTACATAACTTACAGATTTACAGATCTATGCAGTGACTCCCATCCCAGACAATATAGATGTGCTGCAAATGGACCGTGTCCCCGATCGCATAAAGAGCTTTTACCGAGTCAACAACATCCGGAAATTCCGCTATGACAGGCCTTTCCACAAAGGCCCAAAGGACAAGGAGAATGAATTTAAGGTAGAAGTAGCGAATAAGCAGTGTTTAAGTGTTAATCTTGTCAAGGCTAGTGCTGTCATTATTTTATGCTGATACAGCCTTTCAAATAATCCTGATTTGATGGCCAAAGATACTGTAGTAACTCAAATAACAAGTAGCTGTTGAGTCCGGTGGTTACACACCTGACCTGATTAAAGCATTGTCCAGTTTGAAGGCAAGTTATTTTAGAGAGATGTGTTTTGAAGCAAGGACAGGTTTTTTTCGTTTAGCTGGAATTTTTTCTTACTGTCACGTATGTCTGCAATGTCGTCTTCGTTCACATGACAGAATTGGTGGTCGATCTTTAAAAATTAATAGAAATGTTGAATGTGTTGCTTTAGAGCATACCGGATTCTGGTTTTGTTGGTCACGTGACTTTCAGCATGACACTCTGCAAAGTAAATTAATGCTCAGGAGGTTAATGTAGTCTTTTCTGAACTTTACCCTCTTGGCACCTGTAGTAAGAGTACAGATGATGTGATTGAGAATCTGCTGTGTGCCTCACATCCTCAATTACTCTTTGTAGAGCTTGTGGATTGAACGTACCACTCTGACCTTGACTCACAGTTTGCCTGGGATCTCTCGTTGGTTTGAAGTGGAGAGAAGAGAACTGGTAACATTCATAGTTCCTGTAATTGGGGTTTGAAATGGTGTTACTGAGGACAGGGGATAGGCAACTTAAAACTCCTTTGGCTGAAATCTTGCAGTTTAAAGTTTACCAATGATTAAGTGTGTCCTTTTTCCACCACTTATTCTAAATAATTGCTGAATCTAACTAGAGGAATTATGTGAGGGAACATGGCAGTATAATGGAGACAGTGCCAAAAAGATAGAATAATTGCATTGTTGCCATGTCTTCAGTATACAGAAGTTCTCACAACTCAGTGACCTGAAATACAGCATTGCTAACAGTAAAATTTGTTAACGTAGCTAATTTTCTACAAAGCAGTAAAAACTAAGAGAGATCACCGAACAACCCTAGAGTATCATTTCATTACAAGGAAGATAATAAATCTCAGTGAAGCATCCATGGAATTAAAGTATATTTTATTGCCTTTGAGGTTGAAGTCAGTCCTTTGGAAAATGCCATTCAAGTGGTTGAGAACAAAAACCAGGAGCTGAGAACACTGATAAGCCAGTACCAGCATAAACAAATGCATGGTAACATTAATCTCCTCAGCATGTGTCTGAATGGAGTGATTGATGCAGCTGTTAATGGGGGAATTGCACGATACCAGGAGGTAAGCCGGGCTCCACTTCTGAATTTAGTATCATCTTTTCTCAATTTTATTTCCATTTCTCTTTCAAAGAGAGTATGACTTGGTAAGATAAGACATTTTCATGCACATTATCTAAATACAAGGTTAAAACCCCTACTTGGTTATTCTGCATCAGTGCTTGCATAGCCACATGTCAACAGGAGGATCCGAAGGTGGAGTTGGGATATCACACTGATGTAGGTACAGCTGAAGCAGGGTTTCTCAAGAATGAAACTTGGCTTACCTGGAAATCCTGACTTGGCAGGTAAAAGTGTGAAGCAGATTTTTTTTTTATACTGCTTACATCATAAATCCATTTTGGAGTAGAGGCAGTAATAGAGACTGATTGGGCCTGTAATCAGGAAAAGCTGCTAATTTGTGCTACTCAACCCTCATCTTTGCTAGCCTAATTTCAGACTCACTGTAACCCCAAAATGACTGTATATGCCCTATGTTATCTGGCATAATCTTTGGCAAGCTGTTACTTAAACTCTGCATGGCAAAAGGTAAGTCTAGGGTGAAATAATGAAAAACGGCAGCAGCAGTCCAGGGACGTGGAATGTGTCTTCCCTACAGAGCCGTGAAGAGAACGCTCTTCATACTTTACCTTAGTTACCACTTTACTCAATTCCTTTAACTTTAGGCAGTTATGTGAAGGAAACAATATAAAATACAAATAACTGGATGATAGAAGGCTTAGTGGTGTTACTCATCGCTATCACATGGGGAAACTTGGTCAGATTCATGATTCAACAGGATCATCATGGTTGCCAAAACTGTGCTGTAGCTTTACCTGGATCCCAGAGTACTAAAAGCAATACAATTGAGCTGCTGCCGTTAGCGTAGTGTATTTAGCTTTCCTAAGATGTTTGGACCTTTTCAGCCTTTGACACGAAGTTACCATGAAATACCTTCCAGTATGCAGAAGGCTTTCTTTTTTTTTTTCTGCAGGCCTTTTTTGATAAAGATTATATCACAAAGCACCCTGGAGATGCAGAGAAGATTACACAGCTCAAGGAACTCATGCAGGAACAGGTACTGTTTCTCATATGCAAGAGAACATTGCTGCAGTGTCTGGATTCAGCAGCAGTTAATATAAACATATCAGATCCAACTGATTCATTCAGAAACAAAGAATTTTGGTACAGGAGATCTACAGTACATTTAAACAAAAAAGAGGGGGGAGTTGGCCAAGGAGTTTATGAACAAGCCACTCACCTTATGGGACATGAGGTGAAGCTCAGCTGAAATTACATTAATTCTGTTGTCTCCATTTATTATCCAGTAGACATCTCGCCACGTTTTAAGCCTGCCATTCACTCCTTCAGCAAGTCACTTAACAGCATTTCAGATTTCCCATCTGTAAAATAAAGATAATGCTTATCTCTCTTCAATCCTCAAGAGGATGTTTGAAGATTAATTAGTTATTGTTTGTACAGACGTTGGATCACATAGGGAATTATATACGTCTTAAGCCTGCTGTCATTACTATTTTCTTTCATCTGAGAGCTTATGTAATCTCATTCAATCACTAATATTGTATGTTTGACCTGTGAAAAATTGACCTTTAAAAATAAATAGTGAGCGACAGAAAGAGTGACTATGCATGCCACATTGCCACTGCTCAGCTCAATTATTAAAAACTCCTTTTAGAAATCTCTGTTGGCAACTTTGGCCCCTCCTCTGACACTGGGTGGAAGGAATTTCCTTTGTCAAGATGAATTATCTGTGTGAGGACATAATGCTGTTCACTCTGGAGAGAGAATCAATCTGGTACTTTTTTTACAGTTCTCTCTTTACAAAAGTAATCCAACATGACATAAATGTACTTGTCTCAGACTTAAAGTACTTGTTGAAGTAACATGAATTTGCCAGGTCTCCTAGACTTGCCTAATTATCAGCAGTCTTGTAAATGAACAGCGGCATATTGTACGGTACTTTCTTGCCCATGGACAGAACTGCAGGACAGGTTTCTAGTCCATCTCTTAGGCATGATTTATTTGGTTTTGTGATGCTATGTTTTCTTTCTAACAGGTACATGTCTTAGGAGTGGGTCTGGCAGTCCATGAAAAATTTGTACACCCAGAAATGCGTCCCCTGCATAAGAAACTGATAGACCAGTTCCAGATGATGCGATCCAGTCTGTACCATGTAAGCTGACAGTCATTTTTCCCATTTTGAATCATTCAGAGTTACGATTAAGCTTCTATCAGTTGCAGTAAGTTCACAAAAGAACTGGGCTGGTACAGCATTGACTGAACCTCTGGATTGCCAAATTAGCAAAAGAATTCTTGACTTCTGTGCAAGAAAGAAGTCCTAGTAAGTCTGTTAATTTAGCCTTTATTTTAAACTATAATTTTTAATACGTGTATGTTCTTTGTTGTATCACAAAACAATTGTAAAGCTTAATTTTCAGTTACTGTCTTACACAGTAGAAAATGATGTAAAACAGATGAAGAAGGGTTAACAGAAAATGTTAGATGTTGAGCTCTTTGAAAGAACTACCCTAATTGGGAGTAGCATGACATGGATTAGTCCCTCCAGAAGTGTCTGTATATAGGCAGTGCCAGAAGTTCCTGTTGGTTACTTTAGGCGTCCAACTCTGGTGATCAGGACGCACACTATTACGGGTCTATAGCTCCTACATAGCAACGGAACCACCTCCAGAGCAGGTTCACCCCACCTGTTATACACCAGAAGTGCAAATGTCATCCTCTAGGGGTGATGCCTTTCCCTCTGTGTGTGCTCTGCTGTACATTAGTATTCCATGACAACTACACAAGACATTTTTGCCAGGTGGGTCTCAGGAATTTGCAGTGCATTCTCCTCTTCCTGGTATAGTGGAATCTTTATGGATACCTATGGATACCAGACTGGAGGATTTCTGTCTATAATGTCAAAGTATTATTTGAAATGTGTGCGTTAGCGCTTTACTTTCCAACTAGAGTATGTATTTTCTAAGGTAGCTTCTAACTTGGAAGGCTTCTTCCTCCATTCTTAGGAGTGAACACTATGCAAGGGTGGCCAGAAATAGCAGCACCAGAATTTTAAAATACAGCCTTTCTCTTTTAAAGCAGATGAGATCCGTACAGGTCGCAGTTGCCATTTTGAGTTCACTGTCTTTCTTGAGAGTTTAGTCAAGATCTGTATTTTTGAGTCCACGTTTCTTCTTTAAAAAATGTAGGTGGCTGTAATTTGGGCCACACCATCCCTCTATTTTCCTTCCAAATTCCTGAAATGGTGGCTAGAAAGTGTCATTGGAAATAAACAGAGAATGGGGTTGTAAAGCACTGAAGCTCTTTATGCTATGGAAACACAGGATAACTGAGCATAAGTGTAGAGAACATGGAAACAGATGAGGATTTTCCTGGGAAGAAAGCTTGCCATTTTCCATTACCAGCTTAGCTAAAGTACGTTTCCTTTGCAGGAGTTACCTGGATTGGATAAGCTGAGTCCAGCCTGTTCGGGCACGAGTACACCACGCAGCAATGTTCTGGTTTCGCATGGACCTATGAGCCCAGAGAGCATAAAGCTGGTGCATCGACACAGGTACCCTGGTTTTCTCTACTGAAATATCTAGGATCTCTGCAGACTCTTGCATTAAGATTCAAAGATATAAGTGGTTAACAGTACTGCAGGAGGAGCAGGATGAGTTTGGGCAGAAGTGTCTTTTGTCTTCATTCAGTGCTAGTTATTAAAGTCTGGTTGAGGATTGGAATAATAAAGTTGAGAAATCCAATTTGCATCAAATGCTGCACACCCTGGGGTGTTACTCCATCACTTTACTTACTGTAGAGGCAGAAACACGCATCTGCCACTTGGATCTCCAGATTCAATCTGACTTTGGAGGTTCCAACTTCCTACTTCTGTTACACCAATAGCAAATAAATGGGTCCTTATCTACCATAAAATGAAAATTCTATTGCTTGGTTTAGAACCCAACTCAGGATGTACCCATTTTTAAGGATCAAAAATGTTCACATCATTATTTTTTATAATTCTGATCAAATCAGCACCCAAATATAAGAAAGGCTACCAAGGTGTTTTGATCAGAATCCCCAAAAATGGTTCAGTCTTCACAGAAACATCTGAAAATGTGGATGCTTATTCAAACTGAATACCGATCTATAAAAACTGAGATAATGGTTGAGGATAAAAATTGGTATTTTCAGGTCGAAACAGTGGTTTTGTATCCAGCCAGAACTACTTATTTGGAAATGCACATATCCATGCCAGTATGAAAAACAGTGACAAGAATGTCACTGAAGTTAGGAAATTTCAATTATACTTCCCTGTTTGTTTCTCTCGGTGGGCCCACAGAGCTTAGCTCTTTTTAAAGCCTGGCATGAAAAGCTTCAGGAACTTCTCTTTAGTACATGAATCCAGGATGGTGACGTTGATTTACTATTAAAACTGAGTCTCCCTTGTACTACTTTAGTGGCTTGGCAGTTGACAATTGCGATCTGGCTGATAAACTTTTTTTCTTCAACATTCCTCACTTTGTAAAGCCTTTTCTAGTTCTTAGGACAAACGAGGGAGATTCTATAGTGTACAAAATATGTATTTGTGATTCAGAGTGACAAAGAAAAAATTAATTTCATGAGTGAGATCAAGGTGCAGCCTGCACACCAGCTGGGATGTATTAATTTACTGTCAGCTACAAAGTTGCCTTCAACTCTAATGCTGAGGTCCAAAAGAGGCAATAAGGAAAATTATTTTGATGTGTGTGTCTCGTGCTTGGCTTCCTTTGGAATGTTTTTTTAAGCTGCTCCCACTCATCATACTTCAGCATTAAAAATGAGAATGGTTTTGGAATGTTCTATTGTAACCAATACAACTATGTACCCAGGGTCATGATGTGACATTAATCTGGATTTGGATTCTGAAATTCTACATCCTACATAGGCTACATGTAAGGCAACATCCTTACTGTCACTTCTTTCATATTTACTCACATTTATGAAGTTGTTTAAGCTTATTCAGCCTGATTTTTTGAAAGTGTTTGACATCTAGAGGTGACTTAAAGCAGGTATTTACTAGTTTGGAAAAAATCAGGCTTCACAAATTAAAACACGGGTTCAAAAAGTAATGATGCCCTTGTTCTGTCTCTGTTTTTATTCCAGCCCACTGAACTTGCTTGGTTCAGTCCGACATTCATCTTCCTCTCTGTCGTCCCACACCTCCAGTGAAACAGGAAACCTGGTTATCCTAACAGACAGTTCCGTGGGGGAGACTGCTGAGGATATGTACCACATGCAGGTACAGCTCCAGCACAGCCAGCAGCAGTTAGGAACAGCACTGAACATGCTCTGGAGGGGTATGCTCAGGAGGAGCGTGCTCTACCCGTGCACATGCTTGGGTCTGTCCTGTGGTATTTTTCTCAAAGAACTGAACAGGTAGAACCTAACGTTGTTCAAGGAAGATGACAGAGTGATTCATCTAGGTTTACTTTGGGAAGAAATCTTCTGTATTTGTACAGTGAAAGTTGCTACTGTGGTCCAAGAGCATACTGTTGCTTTCAGAAAGTGAGATTTTGGTTGGCATGTTATTTATGTGACCCGTTCAGCATATGGAGTTAATATTGTTCTTGGTTTGTGGGAGGGTGAAATGAGTCCCACGGTCATGAGTGCAGATTTATAGTGGCCTGCACTGAAGCTATTTCCTAGACAGAAGCTGCGCTAGGTGATCTGAGACAGGTAAATAGCCGATGCACTGATCCGCTCAGTTTTCTCTTGATGATTTCTCTGCCTCCTGCAGCTTGTTTACCCTAACTCCAGGTACCAAGGCTCAGTCACCAAAGTCTCTGTTTTATCCTCGTCCCAGGCTAGCCCTTCCACCTCAAGCCTGAGCTCTACTCACTCGGCACCATCCCAGATGATTAACTCTGCCCCTTCCAGTGCTCGAGGTAAGAATGGATGGACCAAATGAAGGGTTAACCGGACCTTGCAGCATCCCCTTGCCTTACTGGTGAAAGACCACCTACACTGCAATATACTGCTGTTTTTCTCTTGGAGCTGTAAATGCCTCTTCAAAAATTACTTCTTAAAAATGTTTTTCATTCTCCAGAAATTGATTTAATAATTTTCTTTCAGCAGTATTTGGAATGTATCTCTAATACATGCTGGTTTCAGGCAGTTGAATTTCATAATGATTTCCATTGTTCCGCCACAAAATTGTGGCAGGCAATGTAGAGGAAAACAAGAATAGTCTTTGGTACAGTACTGAGAGATCATGAAGACAAAAGCAAAAAAACAATTTTACACATTTAATGAAATTATGGCACAAAAAAGGACTTGAGGACATTTAGCAGAAATGTATGTATACAAAAGCATATGTATATGATGAATGCTGAAAGATACAAATTTTAAGTACTGGAGTTAAAGAAGGGCTTCCCTGCTGGGAAATTCTTGAAGGAGAAATGTAAAAACAGACTCTAGGGGTACTCATGTCACCTTTGCTGTTACAGCAGCTGGTCTTGATATTGCTAATCATTTTCTTCCCAAGCCTCAGAGCTGAAGCAAAACCACTCCATGCAATCAACTTTGGTAACTGCTATTCAAGTTTTCTTTTTTTTTCCCCACCCTCTCATTTTGGATTCTCAGTTGCAGGTTCACAAATTTCTACACATCTTTTCACAAGTGTCTGAAGAAGGTATCCAGGATATAGTCAGAGATAGAGGTTGATATTTAAATCTTACCCTTTTTTCCCAATCAAGGGAATTGTATGTCCCCTTATGGACAGAGAATACAGAGAAGGGCCCTTTCTCTTGGGCCAGACTGGGGCTTTTTTCCCTCAGTCTTGCAGTAAATCTTAATTGACTGGTTGTTGTTACAACGCGGATGCATCAAAGTGATTTAATTGAAGGATCAGATGGAGTAGGAAGGTGAGAAGTGGACATTTTCAAATAAAGGCAAACAGCTTCAGCAATTACCAAGGGCTAGAAGGCAAATAATGACAATTCAAATAGTAATCAGATGAAACTGGGATAACAGGAAAGGGAAGATGGAACTGAGTACAGGGCTATCATGGCAGCAAGATGTCCTTAAATGGATGTGCCTCAGCTGGCACGTGAGGTCTGAATCTTCGGGGGGGATCTGAGGGGGTTCAGTGCTCATGATGTTTCAAGCAATTTTCCACTTTAAAAGTCCAGTGACAGGCTGTGCCAGTCTTTCTGAGCTTGATGACTTCACAGCATCACCAACTTCCCTCTTTACTGTATTCTTTGCTGTTGCTTAGAAACCAAAGTGGTGACTGCTACAAAGGGTACGGTGCTGATGGATGAGCCAACAGCACCTCCCAGAGATGAGAACTAGGTAGTGTAAATGACCACAAATGAGGAAACAAGAGAAGTAATGGTTTTGAAAAACACTTCAACATGTGTGTCTTGTTCGTCACTCCTAATAACATGTTTTGATAGCCTATGAAACAACATTTCTTCTCTGCTAGTTTTGTTCACTTTTAAGTTAGGTGAGCACGGCATGCAGACATTTTACCCGCTGATTATGGGATTTCACTGCTAGTGGAGTCCCAGATGCTCTCTGTGTTTCACAGTGTGCAAGTCACTATTCTGGTTATTACAACACTGCTGTCTGGAATGGAGTTGTTCAGAATGAGGAAAAAGCCCTTACACTTAAGTTCCACTGTGGTAATACAGCTTTGGTTTTCTCCTTGGTGATTTTTCCTTTTGTTTTGTTTTTTAATTGGGTGAATTTGATGCTTGTGAAAATGAGAGACCAGTATCACTGGCTGGAGCAAGGTACTTCACAAACATTACATGTGCAGCTCGTGCCTATGCACCTCTATCCTTTTTTTTTTTTTTTTTTTTTTTTTTCTTCCCTTTTTTTGGTATTTATTTATATTCTTTTTAATTTAGTGCTGGTGAAAGGTGCTGGATTGACAACACTGGAGGCTGAAGCCCTCTATTTGTCCACAGAACAGATACAGCATGGGCGGCAGCCGTGCAAGCTTCCCCACGCTGCCCCCACCAATGTGCCTCATCTCTGTCCTGGAGGGACCACCTCTAGAGGTGAGAGGATAGTTTAGTCACCATGACCCATCCAATCCTTGGCCTTTCTGCTGAGACTGCCAACACAGCTATGATAGTCACGATGCTGCAGTTAACCACTTTTCAGATGGGAAGTATGCAAAGGCCAACAATTAATTTTGGACAGGCCACCTAAATTTATCAACTTAGCATCTTTGTCACCTGTGGCTTTAACCTGAGCATGGTTATCAAGGATTTCTAGCTTCTCGTCAGATGTTTAAATGCTTCTCTCATTGACTCAAACGTTAATACAGAGATACATTATCCAGATACTTACACCACCACCTCTGTTTAACTGCAGAGTCCTTTCTGGAGCTCACCTGCTAGCACTGCTGTGAGGAGTTGGGTATCTCTAGAATAGAGACTAGTTCAATTAGTGACCAAAG